CCAAATGCCCCAGAAACCCCAATTACCATCTTATGCTGGTACAGAGACGCCACTCAGTTCTGCCCCATTGACTTGCAGACCCTCCCACTTCCCCTCCCTCCCCCCAGCCCCTATTCACCTCTGCCCGCTATGCCCAGCCTGGGACCCCAGCTCTGATCTCCTGGCTAAACCCTTCCTAATTCCAATCCAATCACCCGACCCTTGTCCCCTGTGTCCACGTTTACCCAATAAGCCGGGCTCTGAATAAGGGGATAATCCGCTGGGGAGGGGCTGGGGGAGGAGACAGAACCAAAGCGGGGGATGGACCCATGCCAGGCTTCCCACAGCACAGGGACCCTGCTCTGACCCTCACCCCTCTCCGTGGGCCCGGGAAAACCCCAGGCCTCCTGGCAGGGAAGGCAGGGAAGAGTGACGGGGCAGATCGTGACCTCACACAGAATTGGGAGGGGGGCAATGTCCTGGTTCATTTCCAGCCCCCCACCCTTTAATTTCACTCCTTGACTGGTTTTGACTTCGCTGATACTGAATATCCCCTCCCCCGCTAATTAGATTGTGGCTCTATAATTACAGGGAGCGTTAATGGGATTTCTGTGGGTGAAGGGATGGAGGAGGGATTCCCCCTGCACAGTGTCAGGGGATGGACACCAGCCCCAGAGCAGGGACAGATGGGCACCACGTGGACACCCACTCCCAACCCCCAGCAGGCCAGGCTGCACTGGTTGTGCACTGGTTATCGGGGCAGGGCAGAGGGGGTGACGTGCACATGCACACACACAGAGCCCTCTCTCTCTCTCTCTCTCTCCCCCCCCATAGCCCTCTCTCGCTCTCACACACACACAGACACCCCCCCACACACACATAGAGCCCTCTCTCTCTCTCTCTCTCTCCCCCCCCATAGCCCTCTCTCGCTCTCACACACACACAGACACCCCCCCACACACACATAGAGCCCTCTCTCTCTCTCTCTCTCTCCCCCCCCATAGCCCTCTCTCGCTCTCACACACACACAGACACCCCCCCACACACACATAGAGCCCTCTCTCTCTCTCTCTCTCTCCCCCCCCATAGCCCTCTCTCGCTCTCACACACACACAGACACCCCCCCACACACACATAGAGCCCTCTCTCTCTCTCTCTCTCTCCCCCCCCATAGCCCTCTCTCGCTCTCACACACACACAGACACCCCCCCACACACACATAGAGCCCTCTCTCTCTCTCTCTCTCTCCCCCCCCATAGCCCTCTCTCGCTCTCACACACACACAGACACCCCCCCACACACACATAGAGCCCTCTCTCTCTCTCTCTCTCTCCCCCCCCATAGCCCTCTCTCGCTCTCACACACACACAGACACCCCCCCACACACACATAGAGCCCTCTCTCTCTCTCTCTCTCTCCCCCCCCATAGCCCTCTCTCGCTCTCACACACACACAGACACCCCCCCACACACACATAGAGCCCTCTCTCTCTCTCTCTCTCTCCCCCCCCATAGCCCTCTCTCGCTCTCACACACACACACACGCACACACAGACACCCCCTCACACACACACACACACACACACAGAGCACTCTCTCTGACATGAACTTTGCTTGATCTTTGTTATGGGCTCTCTCTTTTTGTGTCCATTCCTCCTCCTTCCCCTAGTTATCTCTCTCCCATCTTCTCCTCCATTGCTTCCCTCTCTTTCTCTCAACAATCTACTTCCTTCATGTTTACCTTCTCTACCAAGCCTAACAATCACAACCCATCACACAGAGCCCTCTCTCTCTCTCACTATCCCCCCATTGCCCTCTCTTGCTACACTTTTAAATGTTTGCATGGTTTTTGTTTGGGGTCGTATTTGCTCTATGTGGTCAAAATGGCTGATGTGTGTGCACGCCGTACACCCTCCCCCCCCCCCCCCCCACACACACAGCCCTCTCTCACTCTCACACACACGGGCTCTGTGGCACACCCACAGAGCTGTGACACACACCCAGGGCTCTGACATACACGGATGGCTCACCAACAGACAGAGCTTTTGCTTGATACACAAACACACTTTATCCTCTCAGGGATGGTCTGGACAGTATTTGGTCCTGCCATGGGGGCGGGGCACTGGACTCAATGACTCTCGAGGTCCCTTCCAGTCCTAGTGTTCTAGGATTCTATAGCCCATGACACTGAACCCCCCATCATACACTGACTCAGACACACTGCCAGATTTACACGTGCACAAGGAATCACATACACCTTGACCCAGATTCACCCCTCCTGACACCCCCACAACATCACACACCCAGTCCCCCCTCCCATTGACACACACAGACTTACAAACCCTTGGGGCTCCCCACACACACACGGAGGCCCCTCAACATCACTCACCCAGGCCCCTCTACCCTGACACACACACAGGGTCACACACCTGTGAGCCCCCCCCAACACACAGGGTCACACACCCTCAACAAGGTTGCAGATGTCTCTGCACAACCCCATACATACACTGGCACTGGGCACAGTCGCACACACACACACACACACACTCCATGGATGGACCCAGATTCCCCACCCCTGCTCCCCGAGTACACTCACACCCCATGACGCAGCAATAGCCGCAGCCCCAGCCGCAGCGCCAGGCTGATGCCCACAGCCTGGCACGCCCACTCACCAGCACTCAGCACACCCAGCTGTCCCCATGCCCCCCTCCCACCCTGCAGGAGAAGATATATGGCACTGATCCAGCACCCCCCACTGCCTCCCAGAGCTCTGGAGAGAGCCCAGGTGTCCTGGCTCCCAACCCAGCCCAGTTCTAACCACTAGACCACACTGCCTCCCAGAGCTGTGGAGAGAACCCAGGTGTCCTGGCTCCTAACCCAGCCCTGCTCTAACCAATAAACCCCACTGACTCTCATAGCTGGAGAGAGAACCCAGGTTTCCTGGCTCCCAACCCAGCCCAGTTCTAACCACTAGACCTCACTGCCTCCCAGAGCTGGGGAGATAAGCCAGCGGTTCCAGGCTGGAACCCACTCTGCACCCCCAGCTGGAGACAGGGAGAATGATGCCCAATGATTAGAGTCAGGGGAGGGGGCACCAGGACACTGGGTTTCTATCCTGTCTCTGGGATGGGAGGGGCATCTAGTGGCTAGAGCAGGGGGAGGGCTGGGAATCGGGACGCCTGGGTTCTTTCAGCATCCCTCATTCCCCGCTTGTCAGCTCTCCTGCCCCCGCACTCACAGACACTCAGGCGCATTTCCACGCTTGACAGCAAATCCCCCTGGAAGCTGCGCAGAGGCCTCGGATTCCTGCCTCCTAACAGGCGTGAAATCTGGGCCCATTGTGCGCCTGGCTCTGGGGAAGGGGCGCTGGAAGCTGCACAGTTCTGACAAATAGCTTTGTGTAGAAACTGGGGCCCCACTGATCCCAGCCTGGTCAGGGCCCTGCCCCCCCCCAGAAAGCCCCCCCTGTACAGGAGGGGGGCAGAGTGGGAGGAAGGGCGAGCAGAGAGCTCTGAGCTTCCCAGACTGGAACTAGCCAGAGGCAGGGTGGGTTAGCGGTTACAGCATGGGACAGTGAGTCAGGAAACACAGAGGCC